ATTGGGGCCAATTGGCAAAGCCAGGTTTTTAGGCTCCTTTAGAAAGCTGAGAGGTGAGCCTAGATCTCACCTTGGGGGGTCTGACATTCCAAAGGGTGAGAGCCACGGTGAAAAAGCCCCTCGGCCTGGACCTCGCCAGCCACAGGTCCTTGGCTGATAGGATCCAGAGCTTGCCCCTTCTGCTGGAATAAGTGGGGGGGGGGCTGACCCCATTAGGGTGAGCCGGTTCCTGTTGTTCGGTGGAAGCTGCATTTTCAGATTCTCCAGCCGTCTCCTGACGGTGAGAAAATGAATCAGAGGAACAGAAGTTGCCTCCAGAAGTTGTGGGTGCGCCATCACGGGAGATGTTCAAGAAGAGACCAGGCAGCCATTTGTCTGGAGTGGTCTAGGGTAGTGGTGGCAAACCTTTTCCGCACCAAGTGCCGAAAAGGGAGCATACGCGCTCGTCTGGCCCGCAGCCTGGAAGAGGAGCTGCCCAGGGTGCCTGCACGTGTCCGAAAATGAACTTGGGGTTTCTGGCACGCGCATGCGTGCTGGCCAGCTAGTCTTCCGGGTACTGGCGCACATGCACATGCGATGATCATCTGGCCAGGGCACACGCTCACGCAGGACAACAGGAGACCGCTCTTCCAGTTTCCAGCACTGCGGCACACACCAAGGCCAGCTGATCATCACACGCGCATGCGTGCCAGAAACCCAGAAGAGGAACAGGCAGCACTGCGTGTGCTAGGTGACATGGCTCCACGTGCCACTTCAGGCACGCGTGCCATAGGTTCACCATCATGGCTCTAGGGCAAAGGTCCAAACTCAAGGCCCGTGGGCCGGATGTGACCCTCAGGGTGCTTAGATGTGGCCCATGGGGCTGCCCTGGAAACTGCTAAGAACCAGCCGGCAGAGCGCTTGGGCCACCACAGGCACCCCTGACATGACTGACGTCAAGCTGGCCACGCCCCCTGGCCACGCCCCCCAGCCCCCCCCCCCGAGGTGAAACACCTCAATGAAATCGAGTTTGACAGCCCTGGTCTAGGGTCTCCTACTTGAGCAGGGGGTTGGACTAGAAGACCTCCAGTGTCTCTTTCCCACTCTTTTACTCCGTTATTCTGATTTTTCTTAACTTGAGAAAAGGCTATTTTCAGTGCTGCTGGAAAATGTGATTTTCCTTAACAATAACCCAGGTATCCTTAGCTAGAATTATTCCGTTTTCCCTGTAGAATCCCAAGATCCTGCTAGCAAATCAGAGAAATACGATTTCCTGCTCTGTGGTCAAATTCTGATAAAAGCTCCTGCCTTTCTCTTGTTCTCTGTTCTTCTGGCTTCGTAGGCTGGAACACAAAGTTGTGTCCACAAAGCTTCCTCCCCAGAGCCGAGCCTCATTTCGTGACAAACGATCTGCAGGAGGGGAGGCCGAGGGGAGATATGAGAGGAGTCTTCAAACATCAGAAGAGCTATTGCAGAGAGAGGGAGCGAGTCTCTTCTCGGTGGCCCCCGACAGCCTGGCCTTGAAGGAAGGGAAGGAGAGAGGCTGCCTAGGAAACCACCAGAGAAGAGAGGCAGGAGCCCAGGCGCTTAATAGTCAGAGGAAGAAACCCAGGAAGGGCCCTCCCTGATGGATCAGGCAATTAGAAGTGGAGGCTGGAAGTTTGTCCTTTCTGTTAATGCAGACTTGCAATCAAGGGTGCAGAGAAGAGCATCAAAGATGATGAGGGGACTGGAGGCTAAAACATATGAAGAACAGTTGCTGGAACTGGGTATGTCTAGTTCAATGAAAAGAAGGACTAGGGGTGAGATGAGAGCAGCCTTCCAATATCTCAGGGGCTGCCCCAAAGAAGTGGGAGTTAAGCTATCCTCCAAAGCCCCTGAAGGCAGGACAAGAAGCAACAGATGGAAACTAATCAAGGAGAGAAGCAACCTGGAATTAAGGAGGAATTTCCACAGTTAGAACAATTAACCAGTGGAAATGATTGCCATTGTAGAAGATGCTCCATCACTGGAGGCTTTTAAGAAGAGACCGGACAGCCATTTATCTGAAATGGTCTAGGGTCTCCTGCATGAGCAGGCGGTTGGACTAGTTGACCTCCAAGGTCCCTTCCACCTCTGTTCTTCTGTTAAGTAGACTCAGCTCCTTTGGGTGGGTTTAGCGGGGAGACTGAGAGGGTCCAAGCCAAAGGCTGGATATCAGCAGGAACCTCCTGACTGGGCTGAAGGAGCAGTTTTTCTTCACAGAGGCTGGATGGTCATCTGGCAGAGATTCTCCAGTGGTTCCTGCAGGAGACGAGGAAGGGGCCTAGATGACCTCTGAGGGGCTTCCGAATTGGCGATCCTGATGGGAGGTCCGGCCGAACTGTGACGTGAAAGAGGCGGTGGGGGAGAAAACCCAAGAGAAAGGAATGTGGTGCGTTAATGTTAAGAAAGACTCGGATGACCTCAGAAAGAAAAAAAGGATTTGAAAATAATTTAGCCAAAGAGAGCAAGAGAGCAGAAAGGAGCTTCTAGCCGAGGAAAGGAATGAACAATTGAAGTGGTGGAATCATTTGGGGTGAAAGGGAAAGGAATGATCAGAGAGCAGAGCTGGAGGAAAAACCCATCTATTCTACTGGATGGGGAAGAAACCGGGGGGGGGGGGGGGGGGGGGGGAGAAAGTCAGGCAGCTTTGGGAATGTTGGAAAGGATGTGGTGGTTGCTGGGGTGGACTAATATAGAATGCAGTCTGACTTATTTGTGGATCAGTGGTGCTTTTTGTTTAACATACCATAACATGAATGTGGCTGGCATTTGTACCAACAGAAGAGAGTATTTGTATCTTAGGGTTGAACTGTGGGGTCCTTGGTGCTCTCTGAGCTGGGGGTTTGTCTTGCAGACGTTTCATGACCCAATTAGGGAACATCATCAGTGCTAGAAGGGAGAGGGGTTTGCAGAGAAGAGGAGGAGGAGGATGACGACAACAACGACTGTAGGGTGCTCTCTGAGCTTGGTTGTTTTCTTACGTCTCATTACCCAACGAGGGAACATCATCAATGCTGGAAGAGAGTGGAATATGCCTCCTTGTTTATATATAGCAGTTTGCCCTGCATAAACAGGGAGCAAACCCCACTGTCCCTTGCACTGAGGATGTTAGTTAGTTGGGTAATGAAATGTCTGCCAGAAAGCAGCCAAGCTCAGAGAGCACCGAGGAGCCCACAGTTCTCCTCCTCCCACAATGCCCCCTCCCTTCTAGCACGGATGATGTTACCTACTTGGGTCATGAAAAGTCTGCCAGAAAACCGGCCAGCTCAGAGAGCCCCGGGGAGCCCAGGCTGGCCTTTGTGCTGAGCACAGGGAAAGCGGCTCCTCTTCTCCGTAGGAAAACCGGAAGGGGAACAGCCAGGAAGACCAAACCTGCTGCAGGATCACCTGCAAGAGAGGAGACAAGCCCTCCGGGGGGGGGAGCCTTCAGCAGGTCAGAGAGGAAGGTGTGGATGTCGGCCTTTACTGGGCATCCCTTGATTTGGAGAATGAATACGATCCCATGAATGGGCTTAAATGAAGAAGTGCCTCCTATGAATAGGGCACTGAAAGCTGCCTGCTGAAAGCGAAAGTTGCGGTGCATTGTATGAGAATAGGAAATGGTTCGATGCTGAGCTAAACAAGACTCTGATGGTCTCCATGGTTGCTTAACGTAATGCATGTTGAACAGAACAGAATATAGAAGAGAAAGAAGAGGAGAGAAAATAGAAATAGAATAAAACATGTAATAGAACAGAACAGAAGAGATATAGAAATAGAAGAGAATACAGAACAGAAGAGAAATAGTTTATTTGGCCAAGTGTGATTAGACCCACAAGGAATTTGTCTCTGGTACACAAGCACTCGGTGTATATGCAAAGCAACAGAATAAGAGGAGGGAGTAGAGAAGATAATAATAATAATAATAATAATAATAATAATAATAATAATAATAATATACTACTACAGCCACACTACGTGGGTTAATGTACATAGACATTAGGCAGCACTGTGAGATTGAGGAGCTGTTCAAGAGAATGAGGGCAGGAGGGAAAAAACGGTTGTTGTGTTGGCACGCAATGCCCTGTAGCGCCATCCTGAGGGGAGGAGTTGAAACAGTTTATGTCCCGGAGGTGAGGGATCAATCCTACTTTTGCAATACACAGATCTTCAATGGAAGGCAGGCACTTACCCACAAATATCACGGAAGCTCTCTCGGTGACCGTAGGGGAGGGTGAGGCCATGGCATGGGCAGAGGATCTGGCTGATTTGTAGAAAATACTGAAGCCGTTGTAGGAGGCAATTGAGTGTCGGCCCTGAAGCTGCCCTGACTGAAGCCATTTTGAGACTTGCAGCGCAGACACACTGGAGAAGGGGGAGGGGGAGGGGGAATAGAGATAGTTGGCGTGTTGTAGCCAAAATAAAATACTTTCACTTGGGAACCAAGGACATTTCTGCAGGTGCTTGGAAGGAGGGGACTAGAGTCACCTAGCAACCGGACAGTATACCGACTGGACCATGTGACTGATTGTTTTGAGAAAGTGAACAACTTTTACTTTTAATTAGGTGAAAACTGCGGGAATAATCAGAGTCGGTTTTCACCAGCCTGTGCCAATATGACATATCCAATAAAATTATTATTTGAGGAATTTACCTGCCTCAGAGTTTTGTTTGCTATGGGTATGTTACCTGGAACCCTGACACCAAGAGATTGGCTCTGCCAAGGCCAAGGAATTTGGGTCTGGCAAAGGAGGCCATCTCAAAGTATACAGAAAGAGACCAATACAACGGCTGAGCCTCCTCGGAGTGGAATGGATGGAGGATGTCAAAGCGTGGATGGAAGGTATGTGAAGGAATGTTTGTGGGAAAAGACAGGAGTGTCCGTGGCCATGAGTGGCCATTCTGCCCACTCAGTTACACAGGGCTGTGGGGGAGGGGAAGAGGGGCAATAGAGAGACTGGTAAATTGGAGTCTTAGGGAGGAGAGACGTTGAACTTGAGGGAACTTGAGACGTGTGATGAAACAAAGAAAATTTTTATTTTTGAAATTTGTGCATCACCTCAGTTCAACAGTTCATGTCTCCTGAAGCTTGTCTAATCTTGGCCACTTCAACACCTGTGGACTTCAACTCCCAGAATTCCCTAGCCAGCAAGATTGGACCCTCCTGTTATTCCTCAGTGAATGGTGCTATCCTCACTTCCACCCATATCCACTCAGCACATCATCTCTGCTCTCCCCTCCTTAATCTACCATCTCTCTCTCTCTCTTTCTCTCTCTCTCACAGTCCCCATCCAACCACAACTTTCTCAGTCTTCCTCTTCTCCTCCACCGTCCTGTTCGCTCTGCTTTCCAACATTGGTCTTGCAGTTCAGTCTTCGTCCCTTGTCTCACCTCAACCCCTTCAGAGGGACTCCATCTTAGGCACTCCTTCGGCATTTAGTCTACGTTCATTGGTCACCTGCTCAGTCTTGGCCTAATGGTTTATGCGCTTAGTGTAAAATTTGCTCCCAGGTGAGCTTGTGCACTGGATTCCTGCCCTGCCAGAAAACAGAACACAGAGTAACCGAGTTGGAAGGGACCTTTGAGGTGTCTTCTAGTCTACCCCCCACCCCACTTTGCCCAAGGCAGGAGACCTCATTCCATCCAATCAACTGGCAGCCTGGTCTTGAAAATTTCCATAACTTCTGTTTCCCTGATTAATTGTTCTCACTGTCAGGAAATTCCTCCTTACTTCTAGATTGGATCTCTCTTTGAATAAAGCAGAAACAGCCCCAGCCAGCCTGGAGGGCCAGATAGGCACTCTGCTCTTCTGCAGAATCACACCTTCTGAAGTGAGGAGGAATCCCACCCTTATCCCAGAAACCTGTAAGGACGTGGTTATTTCAGAGAGCCTTTGGGCCGGGGTTCTGGCACCGTCAATGCAATTGGTAGCACTGAGGCATAATTACATAATGCAATTATGCTTACATGTACTTTAAACATTAGACGATGATGTTTTAAACCATGGTGACGCAGTGATTAGAATGCAGCATTGCAGGCAAACTCTGCCAACTTCCAGGGGTTCGATCCTGACCAGCTCAAGGTTGACTCAGCCCTCCATCCTTCCCAGGTCAGTAAAATGAGGACCCAGATTGTTGGGGGCAAGAGGCTGACCCTGTAAACTGCTTAGAGAGGGCTGTAAAAGCACCATGGGGCAGAATATAAATTGAAGTGCCATTGCTGTTGCTAAACCAGGGGTGTCCAACCTTGGGAACCTGAACACCTGTAGACTTCAGCTCCCAGAATTCCCCAGCCAGCCATGCTCATTTTAGCATTTTCCTTGGCTTTTCATTGCTTTGCTTTGCCATTTCTTACCATTCCCCCGCCTCGTGCCTAATACTGCCTACCCCAAAAGGAAATAACATTGTTGGTGGGCAAGACTGGCAGAAGACCTCCCGACCCCCGCCGGGCAGGCAAAGTAGGTCTCAGTGTTTGGATTCCGCAGGACCTCTTTGCCCGGAATTAGCCTTCAGGAAGCCGCCTCTCCAAAGAGCGGAGCTCCGGTTCTGGAGAGGCCACGGGCAGCCTCTCCCGCCCAGGGCTCCCCCGAGCCCGTCCGACTGAGTGGGGGGCAGCCGCTTCGCACAGACACTCAGGAGCCTTGAAGGTCTGTCACTCACCGGGAAGTGGTGGGGGCAGTCGGGGCCGCGGCTGCGCTGGGCGATCTGGCAGCCAAACTCTGGAAGAAAATCTCTTCAAAGAAATCCGTGGCAGAACCGCACCTGGGATTCCGTCCCCGCCGCTTTTGCAAAAGGGCTGGGACAACACAGAGCAGGCAACGCCGCCTCCCCTCCCTCCGGCACAGCCGCCGCGCCCACGCTCCGTCCCGGACACGCGAGGCTCCCGAGAAGCCCCCCGGGCGCTGCACCCGAAACGCCACGGCTGCCCCTTCCCGTCCTGGTCGCGCGAGGCAGGGAAGGGCGCCCGCGGGCGCAGGGCTTCATCGGCGGCCTGTGCTGCCCTCCTGTGGCAGCAACTGGCATTGCGGGCGGAAGGGCGAGACCAGGCGAGAGCGTCTCGTCACTCTCCCCGTCCGGCTGCTGCTGGCGCCCTGCGCCTCTTTTGGGGCTTTTTACAGACCCAAAAGTGGGGGCAAAAGACAGGAAAGTGGGAGCCTTCTGTCCGGACTTTTTTATCCCCCGTCTGGAAGCTGGCCCTCTATCCCCTTCCACAGTGTGGGCAGAGACCGTCTCTGGAGCTTCTCCGCCATCCGGGTCACGGTTGTCCCAAAGGGGCCGTTTTCTTCCAAGAGGCAACTGGGCTTTCTGGTTTTTCTTTGAAGGCGTTTCCCTTCTCATCCAAGAGGCTTCTTCAGCTCTGCCTGGATGGGCGGGAATGGATGTATAAATACATTTATACAGGAGTATAAATCCTTCCCTTCCCCAGCATACAGTCAGAGCTGAAGAAGCTTCTTGGATGAGAAGGGCAATATCTTCAAAGAAAAACCAGAAAGTCCAGTTCTTGGCAGAGACCTTTCATAACAACAGACTGGGAAGGGACCTTGGAAGTCTTCAAGTCCACCCCCCTGCAGGAGGCCAGGACCGTTTCAGAATGCTCTTCTCTGCACCCTTTCTAAAGTCTTTTTTTGGTATCATGCTAAGTGTGGCCTTACCAAAGCATCCTAAAGCGGTATTAAAACTTCACACAATCTTGGTGCGATCCCTTTGTTGATGCAGCCTAGGACTGCATTGGCTTTTTTGGCGGCGGCTGCACATGGCTGGCTCATGCTTGAGTTTCAAGCCCCTGCCAGACCCCTTTTGGAGTCTCATGTCTTGAAGATGCCTTGAAAAGATGCACCAGCACTGGACGAGCTGCGGAGCAGTCTGGTTAAAAAAATGGAGCTTCATTTTCCATCAATTTTTAGTTCTCTAGATGGCCTGGCTTGAAATCTAGAAGAAAAGAAATAGCAGGCCGCCCCTGAGCATACAAAGAGTACTTTCCCATTTCTCACGAAGGGCTGTGCCTGCATTTGGCTAAGCTCTCCTTCCTTCTCTCTCCTTCCCAGGCACCCAGTCAGGCTGCCTCCTCCAATCAGTTGTGCTGATATGTATCTTCATGGGGTCCTTGGTGCTCTCTGAGCTTGGTGCTTTTCTTCCAGATGTTTCATTATCCGACTAGGGAAGATCATCAGGACTACAAAGAAATGAAGTTTGGAGAAAGGAGGAGGGAGGGAGGAGGTCTGTGGGGTCCTTGATGGTCTTTGAGTTGGTTGTTTTCTTGCAGACATTTTATGACCCAACTAGGTAACATCATCAGTGCTAAGATATTATAACTCTAGCATTGATGATGTTCCTAGTTGGGTAGTGAAACATCTACAAGAAAACAACCAAGCTCAGGGAGCACCAAGGACCCCACAGTCCTCCTCCTCCTCCCTGCAACCCCCCTCCCTTCTAGCACTGATGATGTTACCTAGTTGGGTCATGAAATGTCTGCAGGAAAACCGCCAGGCTCAGAGAGCACCAAGGCATCCACAGTCCAAGCTGAGCTCCCAATCTTCTCTTCCACATGTCTTCTGGTGTTCAACTATTACCAGGATGAAGCTGCATATAGGGAAGAGGTGAGGCCTCTGGTGGATGGTGCAATAAAAGTGACTTGGTTCTAAATGTTAATAAAACAAAGGAGATTATTGTAGATTTTAGAAAGAGCCGGCATGTTCATACTCCACTCATATCAAGGAGGCAGCTGTAGTAGTAGTCAACAGCATGAAGTATCTCGGGGTGGAGATAATTAACAATCTGAATTGGTCTCTCCACACATCATCCTGAGTGAAGTATGAAAACCAGCATCTGCATTTCCTGCGTCAGATGTGGAGAGCACATCTCTCTCCTTCTGTCCTGGCCACTTTTTATAGAGGCACAATTGAGAGCGTTTTAACAACCTGCATCCCTGTTTGGTTTGGTGGCTGCAGCGCCTCAGGTAGGAAGTCCCTACAGAGAGTGGTGAGGACAGCCGAGAAGATTTTAGGAAGCTCCCTTCCTGTCATTCAGGATATCGCTTACAAGCACGATGTGCTTAGAGCTCAAAACATTGTTAGAGACCCCCACACACCCACCCACCCACTTCAGGGTCTGTTTCTGTCGCTCAAGTATTTCTAGCAGGACTTCCGGATTCTGTAACAGCTTTGTTTTTGTGCCATCCGTCTGGTAAACTCGCTAAGATTTGTTTTTCTCGCCATGTACATATATACATCCCAACAAGACTGTGTTGTTTCTCCGGGTCATATATGTGGATATATGCATATTTATTCATGTAGTTATTTATTTAGTCTTGTTTATGTAGTGTATATTGGAGGTGGTGACCTTTTGAGAGCTGCATGCAATGAAATTTCATTTTAACGTAGGCCAATTAGTGTGCATTCGAAGTGACCATAAAGTTATTCTAAGTCTGGGTCCTTCGTGTTGAATGCCCAAAGCAGAAAAGGCTTCCCCAGACCCCCTGCTGCTAGGATCCCACTGCAGGAGGCCGAAGGGTCACACTGACAAACAACAAAATAAAATGCACCAGGGGAGGGAGGGGCAGGGAAAACCCTGTCGCCTTCCACCCAGTTGGTCAACCTTCACTGCCCAGTTGTGTTTGGGCAAGTCATTCGGCCCGAAAGGTGGATCCCACTGCGACCGGCTGGTCTACTAAGATCACTCCCTCCTCCATCCTGGCCTGTCCAGTAAGCTCTTTGTGGGCAAAGGAGACCCCCAGATGGTTCAAAGCAACGCAACTGTCCGTGCTGGGTCCAGAAGCCATGTTCTCCAACAGAGGCCCATGAATGATGGTTTAACGCTGTTGACGGGGAGAACTGAAGCGCACAAAAGGCTGAAGACCTGCTGGGAAGCCCCCCTCCCTCCCTTCCTGCCTCCTCTGCCAGTTCCCAGGGCCGTGGAGGCCAGTGGCCTTGGAATGCGCCTGGCCCTGGACCCTGCCCCAGTCCCCAGGGCTTCCCCTGGGAGCCCCTCCCGGCCAGTGGCCCTGGCTTCCCTGGCTGGCCCTCCTGTCCCCCAAGGTCTCTCTGACCTCCGGATGCATCTGCCTGGCTGCACTCGGCCCCTCCTGCACTCCTGTTCCGATCCCCCTTGCCAAGGCCCTGTCAGGGCAGTGGGTGCGAGCCAAGTGGAGGAGATGGGCCTCTCCCTGGAGAACATCAGCCTGTGACACTGCGGCAGGGAATGCGCCCCTCCCCACATGTGGAGCCTCCCTCTTGCCAAGCTTTGCAAACAGGATATACGGTGTGTGTGTGTGTGTGTGTGTGTATGTGTGTATGCCATGTATATACGGCAAAAAGCTTCTTGGAGGCGGGGGGGGGGTGGGTGGCCTTCTGGGGGCCTGTAGAAGACCCTCTTTGGCCATCGTCTTCTGATCCAGGGCCAGCTGTTCAAGGATTATGTGGGGGGAGGGGGGAGAGAGAGGCATCTGGAGGTGTGAATAGAGAGGGGGGAGATGTAAAGGGTTCACACATCAGGAAGCCAGGCGTCCTCCTCCAACCCGCTCTCCCCAAAAGCACCCACCCTCCCGGAATGAGGGGCTCGGGGGTCTGCAGAGTTGTCCTAGCCACGGGTGGACTTGACTGGCGCGAGGGAGACACCCCCCCCCGCTCCCCCTCCGGGCAGCAGCCCTTGGCGTCTCCCTGGCCACAGCTACCCCCTCCCCCGAAGGGTCGCGCGCGCGCGCACACACACACACACACACTGGCGAGGCACCAGGGCAGCCGGCAGGAAACTCCGCAGCGCCTTGGCCCGGGGGGCTCCAGCCTGGCTGCGCGCGGAGAGCGGGTCGGTGCGGGCAGCCAAGGCCCTGTTAATGGAAGCCAGGTGCGGGGGGCTTTGGGGGAAAGTTCGGAAATCGGGGCTTGTATCCTGTCCAAGGAGGCTGTCCGGGCCGGCGTCGGAGCATGCGCCCAAGCCACAGCTGGCGGAGAGGCAGAGGCTCCCAGCATCTGGCCTGCCTCGCTTGCCTCTGATTAATGGGAGGGAGGGGACGGGCGCAGGAGCCCCTCCAGCCAGACCGCCCCACCGCGAAGCGCTCCAATGTGCTGAACTCATCACGGAAACCGTGCCCTCCCCGTGCCCTTCCCAAAGCGAGCCTCGCGCCCGGGGCGAATCTTCCGCCCCCCGGCCCCTTATTTATTATCAGCCGCTGACTCCGCGGTCTCATTAAGGGTCGGGTTCTCTCCCCCGCCCCCCCTTCGCATGTGTTGATACGGATGTCCCAGAGCCGGCTGGGAAGGGGGGGCGGAAGGGCCCCAGCCCACACTCTGCAGTAATCTGGGGTCCCCTTCGAGGGGCTGCACAGAAATCGCCCTTTGCCCGGGGAAGGAAATGCTGGTGGGACTTGTGGGCGGAGCTTTATGGGGTGGGGGCGCACCGTATGCCCCAGGCCTGGCTTTGGAGGAGGCGAACCTCCCTTCTGTGCCCAAAGCCCCCATCGGAGAGGACCGGGGAGTCCGGAGGGCTCGAGCGTGACCTGACCATGGCATCACCAGTCAGACGGTCTGGGCTCCACCCCACCAGCCCCTCCCGGGCAAGGCGAGCCTCTGCCCAGCCAACTTTCCCCTTGGATGGGGGTCTTTTCCAGTGACCCTCCTTGACACGGCAGCTTTGGAGTTTCTCTGGGCCTCCCTGCCCCCCCCCCCCCAAGCTGGAAGGCATCTGGCAATGGGCAGGAAACCTGCTGGGGGCGCCCCTCCCTCCCCCCTCCCTCCCCGAGCAGGGCAACCTGAGATGTCAGTCAGGGGGCTCCGTAGAGCCTCCGGGAGGCAGCTGTCTCCACGTTGCAGGGTTGGGGGGTTGATTTATACATACCAGGCCAATAAATTACCTGCACGGGGCCTCGGGGAGCCATTCCTTACAACAGCCGCTGCCAGACCTTCCAAGGATTGTTTCCAACAATTAGCTGAAGACAAGGCGAAGGGAGGGCAGAATCAATTTCCAAAGGAGGGTGGGGCTAGGTCCCCCCTCCCCCCTCCCCAACACTTCATGTCTTCAGCTTTTGCTGCCTTTAAAATGGTCACCTCGCCTTGGGGGGGGGCACCTCCCTGGATTCTGCCACAGAGGACTTGCCTGCTGTCTCTTTCTGCCAACTGTACTGGAGGGAGGGGCCACTTGGGAGAAGCTGAATCTGGGGGTGCCTTGGCTGCACAATAACCCTCTTTCCCATTGGAGAAAGTCGGTCGCTCCTGCCCTTTGCCTGATCAGAATTGGAACAGAGTTGGAAGGGACCTTGGAGGTCTTCTAGTCCAGCCCCCTGCTTACATAGGAAAACCTATATAATTCCAGACAAAGGGCTGTCCAGTCTCTTCTTAAAGACCTCCAGTGATGGAGCACCCACAACTTCTGGAGGCAAGTTGTTCCACTGGTTAATTGTCCTCACTGTCTAGAAGTTTCTCCTTAATTCCAGGTTGCTTCTCTTTTTGATGAGCCTCCATCCGTTGCTTCTTGTCCTGCCTTTCGATCAAGAGAACCTGGTTGTGTCCATGACTTGTCCCACTTCTTCAGGCCACCACATTCCCCCTCCCCAACCTGCAATGAGACCCTCCCATGTTTCTCTGAGGCAAAGGACCACCTGCGCCTCAATACTCCCCAGTTGCCATTATGCCCAGGAAGGAGAAGGAACAGAATTCCCAGGGAAACTGAGCCACTCCAGTGAGGGAGGGAGGAGAAACTCAGAGAGCTTTTCCCCTGAATGCAGTTCTTCCCCTTGGAACATTCTCCACGGAGAAATAAAAGCGAAGAAACAGCCTTAATAAATCCTGCCTCTGTTTCCCCACCACCAGGGTTGGCAAGGCTGAGAGGCAGATGCGGGTATTCAAAGGTAGACTGCCCCTAAGGAAGAAGCTTGGTTTAAGCTTCCAATAAGGAAGCTGGCTGACCAACCAAATAGGTCTGTAGCTGATCAGGAAGGTGATCTTTGATCTCTTGGGGTGAAAGAGGTTTTTCTCTGTACACCCCACCCCCTTCCAATAATTGGGACTCTTTTGCAATGTTTCATTTTATTTAGATCACAGCAAAGGTGAAATCCAGCAGGTTCTGGAGACAGGTAGCGGAAATTTTGAGTAGTTCGGAGAATTGGCAAATACCACCTCTTGTCCGCTGGTCCCAGGAGTGGGGAGGGAATGGGGATTTTGCAGTATCCTTCCCCTGCCACACCCACCCAGCCACACCCACAGAACCGGTAGTAAAAACAATTGAATTTCATCACTGGATCACAGGTGTCCAACCTTGGCCACTTTTAAGGCCTGTGGACTTCAATTCCTATAGCTGGCTGGGGAATTCTGGGGGTTGAAATTCACAGGTCTTAAAAGTCCGCAAGGTTGGACACCCCTGATTTAGAGAGCCCAGAGTGTTTAGGCAAAGGTAGCCTTGGTCTCTCTGGAAAGGGAAGAAAAACACACCTGACCCCCCTCCCCTTTTGTCCTCTGAATCCAGAGACCCAGAAGGTGAAGCCCCTTTGAGGGCGAAAGCCTGAAAGGTTCCTCGGCTTCCAATAAAGTCTTTAGTGACAACACATATTTACAGTCAACAACCCAGTTGCCCAAAACAAACAAAGCACCCAAATGGCCTCCTTCCTCTTTTCCATCCGTTTTTTTGCAGGATGGGAAAAATAAGCGACAA